TTCTGCGTGGAGCACGGGGTGTTATGCACAAACTATGAATCATGGAACACTACATCAAAAACTGTAATGTAATGTATGGTGATTAACATAACAATAAAAAAGAAAGACATTCCAAACTGGAAAAAAAAAACAATAAATGCAAATCAAAACCACAGTGAGATATTACCTCACACATATTGGTATGGGTATTATCAAAAGCCTTGAAATAACAAGTTGGTGAGGATAGGGAGCAAAGGGAACTTTTGTGTACTGTTGATAGAAATGTAAATTGGTACAGACCCTATGGAAAGGCTAGAAGTTCCTCTAAAGACTACAAATAGAACTACCATATGGTGCAGTAATTCTACTTCAAATTTCAGGAAACTGACACATAAGTTGTAATGATATATGCACTACGAAGTTTATTGCAGCACTTTTTACAATAGTCAATACAAGGAAACAATCTATGTGTCTATTGATGGATGGATAAGGAAAATGTGTATATATACAATATTATTCGGGTATGAGAAAGAAGGAAACCCTGACATTTGGATCAACATGGATAGACCTTGAAGGCACTATGCTAAGTGAAATAAGTAAGAAGGAGGAAGACAAATGTCATATGATGTCACTTACATGTGGAATCTAAAACAAACAAAGCAAGCTACATGGAAGTGAGAACAGATTGGTGGTTGTCAGAGGTGAGGGTGGTGTGAGAGAGGTGAAAATGATCCAAAGGTACAAATTTCTAGTATAAATAAATAATGGGAATGTAATGTGTAGCAGGGCAAGTATAGTTAATAATGCTGTATTGCATATTTGAAAGTTTTTAAGAGAGAATATCTTAAAAGTTCTCAACAAAAGAAAAAATTAGTAACTATGGGATGGATGTTAACTAGAATTATTATGGTGATCATTTTGATTTTACAATCTGTACATATATCAAATCATGATCTTATACACTTGAACCATATAATTTGACATGTCAATTATATATCAATAAAAATTATGCCAATTATGTCAATTGAAAAATAAGAGAAAAACAAAGATATCAGGTAATTCAGACTGTTCCTTTGTGCTGAATTAACTTTTGTTTTGATTTTAATCCGCATTTGAAGTGCTAGTGATACATTCTATCACAAACCAACATTTACCACCTTTCTGGTGAAGTCGACCTAGTAGTATTTACAAAAATGCTTTTACACTATTCTAGTAGAATACATAATTGAGTTTTCTGTGTAGATATTTATATCACAAATTGATATTTTCAGAAGTCAGCAGATTTAGGCTCAACATGCTTCTCTATCTCCTTACTATGAAATAATATTGCCTAGACCATTATTTAAGGAACAAATTAATCATAGTATAGTCTTCTAGAACAATAAGAAAAAAAGAAAGGTGAAAAATTAAGGAAAATGTTGAAACGAGTCAAGATGATATTAAAAAATCTTTTCTGGTTTACAGGCAGAGGTACTGAATATAAGGGTTTGAGGACTATCTAAAACATTAAAAGATCAGATTGCTATATAATTTTAATTCAGTATCTTACATACTTTTCTTTTTAGGTTTAGAGCAACAATCCTCAAAATTTGAGTGAATTCCTTCCACGAATGGGAGTTAAGTAAAGTCAACTAAAAAATTCCATCCAAGGGTGTCTGGGTGGCTCAGTTGGTTAATATATATATTATATTATATATACCTGAGTTTATTCCCAGTATTTATATATTAAGTATATTGACTTAAATACCCCAGTATTTAATTTGAGTTTATATGTGTGTGAATTTAACTTGAGTTTATATGTATATACACTTAGTTTATATATATACATATATAAATATTTTTGGTAGAGACATATATATTTGGTAGAGACCATGAAGGTAAGCAGTTAATAAAATGTATAATACATTGAGCAGAAATTTGTGAAATTTGGAAGCTGTGGCTCAAAACTATGATAAAGTCTCATGTGTTTGGATGGGTTGAGAACTTTGGTATCTTAATATCTGGGTATGTAAGAAAGCTTGTAAAACCAGCATCAAAATCATACAATAGGTACAATAGCTTTTATGGTGTACATTAAGAATGTTAAAACATGGTGGTGACTTTGAATGAGGAGCTCTAGTTAATAAAGTTCCACGTAGAAATAACTGCTCAATAAGAAAACTATTTTGATATTCATTCCAAGAATCCTCCAAAATATTAAGTAGAGATACTTGTAGCATATTATGGTTATTTTTAAAAGAGACATGTGCCTTTTTATGAATTAGGCTTGACCTTTTTTTTTTTATCACATATTTAGCTATAGATCAAGAAATTCATTCTAATATTGAATTATTACAGTGCTATTGCTATATCCATGTTTGAGTTTTCTTCCCTCTAGTATTTTGTTTCCCTTCTAATGTACATGAAAATGTACCTATTTATAGGTACTATATATTCTAAAATCAATTAGTTAATCTATCCATTGCGTGAAAGTCAAATACTAAAGAAAGCTAATAAAACAGACCATGGGCTGGTCCTCTGCCTGTATTCTGCCGGGGTCAGGTAAACGAACTTCAGTCAGCCTGTGATGCCCCATGAAGGGGTCCCCCGTGGAAGGAAGGAGTTTGCAGGGGTGGAAGCCCAGCGTTCAGCGGAGAGAACTGACATCCCGACCAGCTGAGTCACGTGGTGGGAGGGGGCTCGCTCTCTCTCTCTCTCTCTCTCTCTCTCCCTCTCTCCCTCTCCCCCCCCCCGCCCCCCTTCTCCTCCACATCCCGTCCTCTGATGTCACAAGTCTGTTCTTCCCTGGGAGAGCTGATTAGCATTCAGTGGGTGCAGTTGGCCGGGAGTGAACGGCGCGGGGGCCGGCGGGCGGGGGCGCGGCTGTCCCCCGGGAGCCGCAGTGGGACGGGGCGCAGGATGGCCGTGTTCTAACTGGGATCCTCGCTGACGTGTGGCCGCCGGCTCCTTGGCAGCTGTCTTTTTGGACCAGTAGGCAGAGGGGAAATTGACGCTGACGAGCCTTTTGCATCTTGGAAGGGACTGCAATCTACTGTAGTGAAGAACAGAACCTCTCAATCACACGGTGTAAATAAGAGACGGAGGGGAGTCCAAAAGAAAAGGAAGAGGGGAAAAGTGTGTGTTGGGGGAGCGGGGAAAAGCATTTTTGGTGGATGGTATGAAGCCAGCCATGGAAACTGCAGCCGAGGAAAATACTGAACAAAGCCAAGAGAGAAAAGGTACCCGGCACTCTGACAATATCCTGTTTCAAGCTTTTCACTGGGGGGTGCTTTCAAAGGGGGAACCCGGTTTTGTGTCTCATAAAATAGCTCTGAAACAATCCCTCTGGCAAGGTCGTCCTTTCACGGTGGTTTTTGCCTGTAAGCTGATGTTAAATTAATAGAGCAGTCTTTCTTCAGCCCATTCCTGTTCCAAATTTTCCTACCGAGTGTGGGATTTCCCAGGATGTCTGCAGTTTGTCACCTTAGGTTGGGGAAATGTTTTTTTTTTTTATTAATGAAATGAGTCATAACTTAGGTTCGATGTTCTGTGTTATATTCCAAGGAGGTACAATGAATTGTTTTCTCCTAATGGCAAGGAAGAACTATTAAATATGCTTCGGTTCTGCTAGTGCTATAGTGACTTGAACATTCTCTAATTTCCTTATCTAATATGATTGCTATTTTTGTGTCTCAGGTCCTGACTATGATATATAATAACCAATTACTATTGAAGCTTGAGAGACATGATATAAGATTAGTCACCTACTGCTGTTTGAAAGAGTTGTGGGGAGTTGGGGGCCTTCTGCTATTTCAACTTAGAGATTTGAGGGATGAAAATAGATAAAGGTCCTGTTCCTTAGAAGGAATTTTGGAATATATCATGATTCTGATATGCAGAATGGCTTTTTTTGAGAAGTTTTTTTTTAGTAAGAAAATGGTAGAAAACAGAAGCTAAAATTAATCTGTCTTTTCCTAGATAATGATTTCAAGTTACGTAGGTGGTAGAATCCTCTCAGCCGCTGTTATGTAAAGGACATCTTTCTGCATTGGAATTTATTTTCCTCACCCAAAGTTACAGATTATCATAAAGGCACAAGAACGTATTCTATACCCATAGAATCTAAATATTAAGGTTATTTCTCAAGGCTATAGCAACCACTGACCATCACTAAACATAGTAATTCTTCAAGGTGGAGGCACAAGTGTGTTTTACTTATGCATCTGTAGATTGAACTGTCTGAAATTGCTGTTAGTCAACTATTTTACATCTATAAAAATGGCAATTTCATGTAGATCTCAAATTGGCATGCTGGGATAGAGACTGTTTTTATGTGGGATTTCTTCTGTACATAATACTTTGATAACATTGTATCATAAACAGAGCAATTTTATTTATAAATTGATAGTTTATTTGAGTTCCTGCATCAAACCTATCTACTGCAAAACAGCAAAGGAAGAAGTTAAAGACAATTCTTGGAAGAAAGATTTTAAAGAACTCCCAAAATTGAAAAATACAAACAAGTAAATATGCCAGTTGCAGAAAATCATCATCATCATCATCTTTGTAATTTCCCAGTTTGCTAGCCCATTTTCATTACCAGCACGCACATTAGGCATTAGGCTTGTCACTCCATTATTCCTTCAGATTTAATTTTTAATATTTTTAAAGTTTAAAATAAATCAATATGCCAGTTGCAATTTTTTGTATGTTAATTTCAATGGAATAAACATTTATTTTAAACTTAATATTACATCTGAAGGAATAGTGGAGTGACAAGCATACACAAACACTTGTTTGTTTTCGTGAGAATTAGTAGATAAGCCAACCTCCAGAGCAGCATTTTTGGTAGGTCACTTTGTGATCACAACCTGTGTTGTTGCAGATCAGTTAAAATAACTTCCCTGACCCATAATCTTTTTTCTTTCTGTCTTTCAGTAAAGAATTTTACTACTAAATTTAATCCTATACATTTTATCATATCACATAGTTTTATATCTACTTCCTGCCCCTTCCTCTTTTCTCATTCTCTTTTAATTGTTGGCACTACATGAATGCCTGTCTCTTAATTTGGGGTGTTATTGCAGTACCCCATAGCTTGTGAATAAGTAGCATTTGATAGTTATTAGAATGTTTTTTAAGGATATAAATTAAATTTTTGAATATAAATTGGCCTCAGCTTTTCTAGTTAGTATCCTTTCTCAGGAATTTAGTCAGAACAACGTATCTTAGCTACTGTGGTTCACTGAAACCTACTTAAGACAACTGTTTCTTTAAAATATATCAGAATGACTTCCTGTTGTAAACCAAAACTATTCCAAGTCCTTAAAAAGAAAGACTGTGTTTGAAACAGTTTTATATGTGTCACAGAACACACGTAGGTGACCAAAATTTGTAACTATTTAGTTGATACTCAGGGATTTTTAAAGAAAGGATACAAGGTTTCTCAGAGAGATCCCAAATTATTACAACTAGCAGTTTTAAAATTGATAACTTTAAATTAAATCAAAATGTGATGATTGAGTAATGATTGATGATATTCACTGTGTAAGCATATGCCAAGGAAGACATCTAAAAAGTGAATATCTAGAGAATGGGCTTGTAGAGAAAACCGTGCCTGGCCAAACGGTACTAGATATATGTAGGAGTTGTAACATCATTTTCTTTTACTGTTTTAGAAAATTTAAATGTGGAATAGCAGCTCTGATGATCTCTCAATTTCCTTTTGGGTCTTTCTTCCCTTTTCTTGAAGGATAACAATTTTGTAGCCTTCCTTCATCAGTCCTCACCAGCAGTGTTTCTGCTGGTTCAGTCCTATCTGTATTTCTGGGTTCTGTTGATAGGGTTTATTAGATCTGTGGTATATACCCATACTAATCTCCTTATCAAGTTGTTATCCATAACCTTGATGTTCTTTTTTGAAAAGTTGTTCTCATTTTTTTTTTTTACAATGGACAGGCTGAGTATTTTCTACATGTTTGTTTAACAACTCCTTCAATTAATTTCTCTTCTCTCACATTTTATTATAAGCAGTCAGGAGGAATCAAGTATACCTTCCACAAACACTGGATATAAGCACAATTCAGCCAAGTTCTTTGCCACATCATAACAAGGATTGTCTTTTCTCCATTGTTCAATAGTACGTTCCTCATTTCCATCTGAGATCTCACTAGAATAGCCTTTTATTGACATATTTCTACCAACACTCTGTTCATGGTTATTTATATGTTTAAAATATGGAAACTTTCTTTATAACTCTTCTTTTTTCCTTCTGAGCTCTCTTCTGCATTGCCTAAAATGTTCATATTTCATTCATTCATGGCAGTCGGGTTTTTCTTTTTAACATGCACCTCAAAAACTTTCCCAGAATCTACCTATTACCCATTTCCAAAGCCACTTCCACACTTTTAGGTATTTGTTACAGTAGCACCTTCACTTTTCAGTATCAATATTTGTCTTAGTCAACCCTCTCCAGAGAAACAAGAACAGTAGAAGATTATGGAAACTGAAGTCCATTGTCAGCAGTCAGCAACCTGGCGACCCAAAAGAGTGAGTGTTATGGTTCCAGTTTCAGTGGAGGAGAAGTCCTAGATCAAGCTGTCAAGCAGAGATAAAGCAATCACTGTGGTCTCTTCCTATAAGGACATAAATCCCATCATGGGGCCCCACCCTGATGACTTCATCTAATCCTGAACACCTCCCAAATATCCCATCTTCAAATACCATCACTATGGTGCTGGGCTTCAAATATATAAATTCAGGGAGGACGCTAACATTCAATCATAACACTATTGCTTCTTTGATTTTAACCAACTGTTTACTTAATAAATATTTATTGGAGATCTATTTGTGCAGGGTATGTAGGAATAACTTGTTAAGAGGAAGGTAAAATTTAACAGATAAAAAAATTATTCAGTTACTTGGAATCCTTTTGCTTAGAGTCAGTGTGGGGGGCTCACAGCCACTTTATGAAGAGAAAGTCAGATCATACCATAAGGCAATTTAACCCTCTGGTTCTTTCCAGTAGCCCCACTTTACCTGTTAATTTTCAGAGAATGTAACATAACTTAGATCTGAGAGAGAACCTCTTAATCAAGAAATAAAAAATCAAATCTAGGGAAGGTTGAGACTTAAGTTTTTAGAACCCTGAAATAACATTACTGAGCTATGATCTAGATTATTGCTTTGGGAGGCACAGAAGCATAGATAACATCCAAGGAAACTCAAAAAGAAAAAAAAAACTTGATGTGCTAACCACTACCTTGACAAAAAAAAAAAGGCAGCAAATTTCCACACCACATTAAGATGTTACGGTGTTTTCAGAAGTGTACACTATGGAGTCCAGATCCATACACAGGCTTCTCTACCCCTTGTCTGAATGATTGTGGGCAAGTGATTTACTCTCTCATTGCCCTTGTTTTCTTCATTTGTAAAAATAGAATGATAGACATACCTATATCTTCCTGTGGTTCTGACAGCTAAAATAATGTGTACCTGTGCTTAGCATGATGATAAAGGCTTTTTGAGGTTTTGAGTATACCTAGCCAGGACATTTGATTGTTTGTTAGGTCCTTATCCTTAGTTATTTCAGGTAAGCAGTTGAGGATTATATGCTCATCCTCAGGTGGAATAATTAACCATTTCAGTGTCAGAATTGTCTTTTTTACCTTCACTATTTGTAGCACTGCAGAGGAACATAACGCCTTATTAGGGTTTATGGGATTCTCAGACATAAACTGGCCATACAACTTTATGGTTTTTTAGGGACTTCAAGATTTAAATCAACAAGTTACTGTATGCCTACTTTGTCCTAAGCAAATTTGGAGATATTTTCCTCCCTGATCTTCAAGGAATACTGAGAAATACAGTCATATTGTCACATAGGGACCTGACTCTGCAAAGCCAATTGTTACTATGTGTCTCAGTAAGTAATGGTGTAAGCCCAAACCAGCAGCCTTTTTCCTATAACACACAAAGGCAATTGGAGCAAGATGTAATCTATAACATTCTAGGACACTCAGTTCTCCAAAGTGCTGAGTCTAAGATGGTGTGACAGAATATCACAGACATCAGTAAGAGGGCAGCAATTTCACCATAGATTCAGAAGACTTCAGGATTATTTGTCAGATTTTTCAGGACAGGGGGACTGGGTATCATTATGAACAGTGCATCTTTATTCAGTTTTTCTTATGCAGCTAGCAATAATTATATTTCACTTTTGGTTTGAAAATGAAATAGG